ATGTTATAACTTTTTTCTTTTCTTTCTTTTTTGGGTAATTCAGTGGGGAAGACAGGCCCCTACTCTTTTTTTCTAATAGTTTAGGAGTTAGTTCTTTAAAGGTGTTAATGGGGTGGTGTCAATGGAGTGTCAGGGTGCTACCACCATGATCCCAGCCCCTTTCCTATAAATATTATAAATGAGCATTAAATTAACGCATAACTCCAAAATATCATAACTATTTCACTATACATAGAAACCCACTTCTACAACCAATAAATCTAAAGAAATTGGAAATTAAATAAAAATTATTAACAAAAACAAAAAACAAAATATAACAAAAAAATCGTCTTCTAATGCATTAAACAAATTTCATAACTAATGCATTATGCTAATAGACCCTCATCTACAACCAATAAATATAAAGAATTGCAAATTAACTAATGCATTACACAAATATCATAACTATTGTATTATTAAAGTAAACCAATGCACAACTCCAAAATATCATAACAAATGCATTGTATATATAAACCCTCTTCTACAAGGAATAAATCTATTCTAAGGGAAATGGAAATTAAATTAAAAAATTTAACAAAAATAAAAGGAAATATAAAAAAATAGATAAAACATACCTTGAGGACTGTGAAGTTCCAATTAAACATGGAAACACCACAGGCACAAAACTCAAAAAAATATAAAAACCTAGATTTTGATGAAGGCTTGAGGTAGGGAGGGAATTAAGCAAGGACGGTGTTGGGGATGAGGGAAAGGGAGGACCGAGAGGGAAGAGGGTAAGGGAGGCTAGAGACTGAGGGGCGCGGTGGTAAGAGATGTTAGAGCAAGGAATCCCCATAAGGTTTGATGTTCGAAAAATTGAACTGAATATACTTGAAAACAAGATAAGAAAAAAAAGAAGAAGATACTTAAAAACACAAGTTCAAAAACATATCATTATAAAATAAAATACAATAAAAATAAATTAACTTTTATTTTGAGAAATTATTCAGAGGAAAAAAGAGGAAAAGCCATAATAGTAATTAATTATATTCCTCTAAATCAGGTAAAAATAGATATTAAATGGTCATTACCCAATAAGGAAGAGCTGATGTACAAAGTTGCAGAAAGAAGAATTTCCTCAAAATTTGATTGCGAGTCAGGGCATCATCAAGTGAAAATTGAAGAAAAAAATATTCACAAAACAACATTTTCTACTCCTGAAGGATTATATAAATGGCTAGTGATGCCCTTCAGACTAAAAAATGCTCCCTCGTAGTTTCAAAAGATGATGGATTCAATATTCAAATAATTCTCTGATTTTATTGCTAACTACATAGATGATTTTGTTGTCTTTTCAAATATAGCATGCAGGAACATCTGGAGCATCTCAGAATATTTGTAGAAACTGTACATAAACATGGAATAGGTTTTTCTTCTTTCAAATCACCAAAGAGTCAATTAATTTTCTTGGTGTATATATCTCTAAAGGCCCCAAATCCAAATGAAGCCCCAAATCATCCAGAAAATTGAAAAATTTTCAGACAAGCTACAAGATAAATTATAATGCCCGAAATTTTTTGGTTGTCTCAATTATGTTTAAGACTTTTTTCCCAAAATTTTTGAGAAAACCAAGAAAATTATAAGCGGAGTCTAAAACTTTTCTATCTCCATTGCACACCAAATTTATTTTTTATAACTCTCCAATCAACTCCAAAAAATTCCTTTTATGAAATTTCAACAAATGCAGAACAGATAAAACCATCTTTTGGGGAAAGATTAAACCCAACTTTTATATATCTCCATTGCATATCAAATTTATTTTTTATAACTCTCCAATCAACTCCAAAAAATACTTTTTATGAAATTTCAACAAATGCAGGACAGATAAAACCAACTTGGAAAAAGATTAAAAAACAAAAAGAGTTATTTACATACGGACCTTAAATAAGTTAGGAAAATACGAGTTGCACCCTTTATATCGGAAAACTAAAATCAAACTCGGTCAACACGACCGATTTTTTTATGAAATTACCCCTCGGTCTAAGGATACCATCTTTGGACCGCTTTTTTTTTGTCAAAACTTAAGTTGCGACACTGTTTTTTTTTTCTTCAAAACTTAAGTTATGATTCAAGGATGAAATTCTTGGACCACTTGTTTTTTTTTTTTCAAAACTTAAGTTCTGATCCAAGGTTGAAATTCTCGAACCGCTTTTTTTTTTTTTTCTTCAAAACTTAAAGTTGCAATTCGAGGATGGCATTCTCGGACCGTTTTTTTTTTTTTTCTCAAAACTTAAGTTTTGGTCCAAGAATGCCATCCCTGGACCGTAAATTTAAGTTTTGAAAAAAAAAGCGACCAAGGGATGGAATTCTCAAACTGCAACTTTAAGTTTTTTTACAAAAAAAAAGCAGTCTGGGGATGGAATTCTCGGACCGTAACTTAAGTTTTGAAAAAACAAGGAAAGCGGCGGTCCGAGAATTCCATCCTCAGATCGTAATTTTACGTTTTGGACAAAAAAAAAAAGAAGGCTTCCGTGATGGGCTAATTTTGTCCAAAAAAATATTTAGTCGTATTAACCGACCTTGATTGTAATTTTCAGGTATAAGAGAAACAACTCGTATTTTCCTTACTTATTTAAGTTTCATACATAAATAACTCATAAGAAAATAAAGAGAGAGGGACCTTGTGATAAAATATGGAACCTTATGGACTTAAAGGTAATTTTAATAATTTTACATGGTCCGTACGTAAAAAATAATATTATCCTCCACAAACAAAAGCATCACAAAAAGCCAAGTCAAGTCTGATTGTTTTCCAAAAGAAAGTCCCGTTTTGAGGGCCTTCACCTCGACTAACTGCTTTGGTCATTCTACCCTCAACAAATTTAGGGCTTTACAGTCCGTAGCAACTGCCATTTTCTGTTGCTTCCATAAAGGGCTAAAGTTCACCTGCCATTTTCTTTGTAAAGAAAATATCTGATATCCCAAATGAACAATTCAGTCTTTTTATTAACTATTAAGGTACTCCCACTTGCCATCTGTTACATTCAAATTCCTCTCTTCAAAGTGCAAACAGTAAAAAATAAGAGAACTGATCTTCAACTCTCTCTCTCTCTCTCTCTCTCTCTCTCTCTTTTCCTTTTCAACACATGCCCCCAAGCATCTCCTTAATGGGTGAATGGGGAGAGCAGCATGTGCATTTTCTCATTCTGGACTGTACACTTGAAAATAAAGTTGAACCAGCATGTGCAGGAAGAACTCAAAGCCTGCAAAAATGCGTGGAAGATAGATACATATCTATGTTATAATAATAGGAAAAAATCTAATGGAATTTGTGGTCCTCAAGGGACAAGAAAAAAGAAAAAACAAACAAATCTTAGAGTTGGGGGCAATTAAAAAGATTGATTCTCCAACTGACAGTGACAATCTTTTGCAGCAATGTGTGATCGTTTTTTCACATTCTCTCTCCTCAACCAAACTTATATGAGAGGTCCTCTTTGGAGAATCTGCCTCAAATTTTGAGTCGAGTCAGTGTCAATCATCCATGAGAATATATTTTGGAAATACTAGCCCCCATGAGAAACCAAATCTCCAAGCCTCCAACCCAACAACAACAAGAGAAAGCAATATATGATTTAAAAACACAACTTGTTCCTTTCAAGTGCAGAGCACAGAACCCCATGAAATAAAGCCAATCTCTTTCCTTACTTGGCAAAAATACACGGAATTACATTGTGTCCTCATATGTTGCACCTGATTAATAGCCAACACTGTTGCTTTCTTCCATTTGTTCCCTCTCTTCCTACTGTAGTTAGGCAAGAGATCTGAATTCAATATCAATTTGTCAATCATCAAAACAACCCAATATCTTAAAGAGAGAAATGAGAGAGAAGAGAGGGTGGTAGAAATGATTCTTCTACTCTGGTGCAATTAATCTTTCAGCATTGCCAAAAAAAGGAAAGTTCATGCACCAATCCACTAGAACAAGTGAACTCAATCCTTCAACTGGTGAAGCATAGTGGCATCATGAAACAGAGAGAGAGAGAGAGAGAGAGAGAGAGAGAGAGAGAGAGAGAGGAGGAGAGTACGTCTACATAGAGGAGGCGGTCTACGTACGACGAACGACCGACCGTAGTCGGTCGACGTACGTACCGTACCCTAACCCTACCTAACCTAACCCTACCCGTCACTACAAC